CTTTAAATCTTAATTTATGAATTCTACATTTTCTCATAAAATTATAGTGTGATATTTGTTTATAGTTGACAGGAATAATGATAATATCTGTGGGGACAACAATTTATGCTGTCTACGAGGATTTCTCCCATTTTTTGGATCCTAGTTATTTTTCTCCAGCAACCCTCTTAATTGTTGTTGGAATATTCGTGTTTGTAATAGCTTTTCTGGGTTGTTGCGGAGCTCTTAGGGAGAGCACCTGCATGGTTCTTGTCGTAAGTATTTCATTTTACTGCTTCTGTATTAAGAAAAATTAGAAAAGTTATATTCTTCACTTCAGTTGTTAACTTTGATATTGTCTCTACATTTCATACATTTTGACTTCTAACTCTCTACTTTGAGGCAATTTCACCATTCTTTTATTCATCTAAATATTAATTCTTTTATAATTTGTTCACCTTTAATCTAATACGTAGGAAATAATAAAAATATAATGTGATTATATAGTTTGCAGTGTCGCTTTCAATAGTACTTGTATTGGAATTAGCTGCAGCAATCGCAGCTTATGCTCTTCAGGATGGAATAAAAAATCTCCTTGCAGATAAAATTAATGCTACCATGCATGAATATCCAACTCATAATGAAGCTAAGGCTGCCATTGATTTCCTACAATCAAAGGTAATATTTTAATATTTCCAAATAATATATGTGTAAAAATAAGTAGTTTATATACACACATAAAATATGAGATATTTAATTATATATATATATATATATATATATATATAATGTATATATATATATATATATATAATGTATATATATATATATACAAACAGATATTTCTTATTTCTCTCTGTATAAGCAGAGATTAAATAGATATTATGATATTTTAATAAAATTTTAAAGACAGTATTTAAAAAAAAAAGCGTGAAATATAAAAAAAAAGTTTTTAGACTAATTATTTTCTAATTGTTCCATTTTTAGTATTTATTTATGATTTATTTTTAGTATTGTTATTTATTAGAATTTTTGGACATTTTTAAATACTTATGTAATGGAATATATTATTCAATAGCTCTATTGCTGTGGATACGATGGATTCGAAGATTGGAAGAAACAAGGGATAGAGATTCCTACATCTTGTCTACCAATGGGAGATAGTAATATAACATGTACTTCTGAATATGATAGTTTTGCATGTCATCCTTACAAACCTGGATGTATCAAGCATCTTACGATTATTATTCATAGAAGTGCACTGTATATTGGTACTGGAGCGGTAGCCATTGCTCTCATTCAGGTTAGTATTATATTAATTTCGAGTTTACATCTATCTAATTGCTGTAATTTAAGATAATTTTTATTATAGTTTGATATTGTAAATAAGTTAACGTAAATAAATAAAAAAGTAACTTTTTAATTTTAATCAAGCACTTCATATATTTTGGTAAATTGAATTGTTTATTTTTTATTTTTTAGTTAACTGGAATAATGTTCGCCTGCATGTTAGGCCGAGCAATCAGAAGACAAAAAACAGAAAGAGAGAGACGTAGATGGGAATTAAGAGAGAGTTTAGTTAATGGTTATCAACCATTGGGAAAATCAGATCCTTTTACCACCTTTCCTGTTGTTTACATGTCCTCTGAACCTCTGAAGAATTCTTAAAACTTTTTTTTCATTCTCAATGAAATAGTTTTATTTATGTTAAAATATCTTTCAAATTTTTGAAGTTTTCTATTATAAAAGTCTTTATTTTGTAAAAAAAGGTCACTTTTTGTACTCCTTTCTTCATTTTCTTTTGTAACTGAGATTTATTTTTATGTATTATTCCAAATTATTATTTCTTCTCTCTTTTCCCAAGTTCTTTGGAAATTTTTAATTTTTTACATAAATTCCTAATACTAAGAATTCTAATTTCACTTATATTGTGATTGTATAAAAACATAGTTGTAGATAATATATATACATAAAGATTTAATATATTTCCGTACTATATAATTAAATGTACAAATACATCGTACAAACTTAACATTACATACTTTACTGGAATAAATTGTTTTCAAAGTTCAGTCACATTTCATTGAAAGACTGAAGCTCTCTTTAGAAGTTCTTCAATTATTTGATTATTTGCTGAGCTATATAAATATGGAGGAGTTAATTCGCGATAAGCTAAACAAATTCGTCTAGAAATTATATCTTCTCTTAAAACGCAATGCTCCCATTTATACCTACAAAAACAAAAGAGTTTAGCGTTTGTGTAAATAATGCAATAAAATTCATATTCATTGTATTCTATTTTTTCAATTTTATAAAATATTTTCTTAAGTTGTACCTGATATGTTGATTAATAATCTTTGATAAAATAAAGATTCAATAATCATATATAACGGATTTCTAATTAAAGTAACTGTTTTACATAATGTTATATAAATAAATTTCTTGAATTATTGAAATATGTTACAAATTATTTAGATATTAAAAGTAACTATAATGTAAAAAGATTTATTTACCTTGCGCTACTATAAAGAACCATAAGGGATCCTTCAGGCATTGGTAGTCTCACAATGACATCTTCATTTTTTTCATTTTTGTTGTCTGTATCAAATTTGAAATCTTCAAGTATTGTGGAATACTCCGTAACGCTTTCTAAATTGTATTTTGCATATGGACCATGATATGGGCTCATTGTTAAAACTGAATTACCCATGACGTTAACAGTAACTATTCTTTCACCCCAAATCCAGCAGTCATCAATATGCGGATCTATGGAAGCTCCTCGTAGTGGATCGTACTCCAAAGTACATTGCTCTACTGTTTGGAAATTATTAAGTACGGGTATCTCCGAAAATTTTTGTTGTACAAACTGAGTAGACTTTGGAAAACCACTAAAGGCACCCAGCTGAAGTTTCTTCTTCTTAAAGTTACATTTTGGCCCAAAATTCTAAATTTTTAAAATTGTTTCTTAAATCATTTAATCTTTTTGTTAATTTTATAATAATAAATTTACTTATATTTTTGTTTAAAATACCTGTTTCCTCCTTCCACTTTGAGAAACTTCCCAAGGTATTTCTTCAAGTGCATTTTTCAGTGACTTAATTTCACATGGATTTAGAAAATCTAGCTTTTTACAGAATAACAAGTTAAAATAAATTTTTTATAAATATACATAAAACAGATAATAAAATTATTTTAGCAATGCTTTTACTACATCTTTTCCATAAAAACAGCTTTTACTACTTTTTGATAATTACTTGTGTTTTGTAGTTTATTATATTGCCAAGTATAAATCAGTTTAAAAAGTAAAATTAATTCAAAATATTACTATAAAAAATTAATAATTAGAAAATAATAGTACCTTTATATAAACACCAGGAAATTCTATACTAATGCCTTGGTGATTTGGATGATTTTTATAGAGATTAATATCTGAACCAGGCCATGCTTTGTCACAGTTTGGACAATATACGTAACTGGAACATTTCTAAAATATTACAGACTTTGACAAATAATACAATTTAAAATGTTATAATTTGTATAACTGCCATAAGAAAATTATTTACTTCGCTAAAAAAACTATATTTCATCCATGAAACAAGTATATTATGAATATTATTATATGAATATATAATAATACTATGTTAAAAACTACATGTTATTGCTAAATTATTTCTTTCTTTATGTTCTATAAAGAATTAATACTTTTTTATATTCTGTATTATAATATTCTGTAGATTTTATTAATTCATAAATGATCATGTCATTTCAAAAATAACAAAAGTCAACTTAAATTGTTATTGGTATAATATTTTTAAAAGAGAAGATTATTGAATAACAACAGATAGAAAAGAATAAATCTATAAAAAATTAACAATTTTCTATATTTTTTTGTATTCTATATTCTATATTATATTTTGTAGCTTTTATTAATTTATTAATTTATTAATTAATTTATAAATTATCAAGTCGTTTCAAAGATAATAAAAAGCAACTGAAATTGTTATTGGTATAATATTTTTAAAAGAAATATAAAAGAGAACAATGTTTCTAAATACCAAAAAATATACCAAATTAATACCAAAAGCAAAGAGTAATTATAAAATCCAAATTTGTATATATAGAAAAATATTATATAATATACATATATTATATAATATATTATATATTATACATATATTATATAATATATATTAGGAATAACAGAAATTATTTAGAAAATAGATATGCTTAATCTTCACGTTTGGTGTTTTAATTGATTGATAAATTAAATAAAAAGTAAATAATTTAAACTTCTTGTAAGAATATTCGAAATCAATATTAATAAACAAACTGATTGTCCAAGTTTAATATAATGATAAGTTCTATTTGTAAAAAATTTTTTAAACCTAACCTCAAAACGGGTCTTGAGATTAACTTTTACAATCTTATATTCAGTCTCACAGAGAAGGCAAGATCTTATTCCTTTACAACCGCAAGGTCGTACTGTTTCCATTTTTTCAGCAAATAATTAACGATTTAAAAATTATTACTTATTTCGTACATTACACAGTCGGTATATATAAGGACTTAATAACTCAAGGATGGTTTAAAGGTTATCGAAATTTAATACGAATTATTGAAATCAATATGACAATAATTGTACATTGCATCATTAGTTACATTGCGGTAGTTCGTCATTTTAATTTTAATTACATTTTTTATGGAATCCTTAAGTCATAAAAGTATAAGAATCGCATGTGTGCATATATGCATGTGGACATGCATAAAAATATGTAATATTAATAATACTCTTTGAATCATTTATCTCTTATTTATACTTCTAATTACACTAAGAAAAAATTGTATTAAAAAAATCTAAAACATATAAATTGTATGTTGCAAAAGTCTTTACTTTTAATTTCGATCAAAATATACTATATAAAATGTACATTAATTTTCCAATTTTTTACTTACTCCATAATAAAACTTAAATAAATCAAAGATATAATTTTAGGATAGCATTCTTTCAGAAATATTAGAATTAAGCATTATAATGTAATTAAATTTTTTTATAAAATTAAAAAGACATTGTAAATAAACTAAAAATAAATCTCGAGGGTATTTTGTTATTTCACACATAATTCTATTTTATATATTACTTTGGCACTAATCTTTTAATAATTACTAGCAATTATATTTTAATAATTATTATAATATAATTATTAATATTTGCAATAATACTAATAATTATTAAATTAATATTTTAATTATATGTTAGTTTTTTATTTAGTTTGTCATTTATAACGTTTTTTTATAAGTAAAAAAGAAATATTTCAAGAATATAATTGATTACAAGAGATTGAAAGAATAGCAAGACATTTTTAAGATCTTTTTTTCAATTTAATTTATTAATCTGTATTCCTCTATGTACAAGACTGCGCCTGCTAAATAATTCTTTCTATGATACAAGAGTCCATTTACTAATAAAATTACGTCTCACCGCCAAACTCAATACATTGCAATCAATTTCTTAACCGCAATAGATTAAAAAAATGGGGGACAAAACAGAAAAAAACTCGGATCACTATTTACAAAAATAATTGATCAATTATGAATCGATTAATTATTGGTTAATTCATCCGAAGTAGGAAAGAGAAATTATATATTTAATTAATCACTTAAATCCAACTTTAAGACTATAAAATATCTTTTCCTCGTTTCCAATTATCACATCGTATACTGTTTCCAATACAATGATTAAGCAATTATTAATTCATTGTTAATTATTTACAAGTAATCATTGTTAAATAAAGAATTAAAGCTTGTTCATGGTTTCTGATCACAATTCATCAATAATCAATCGATGCGGAACGATTAATTAATTAATTTAACTGTACTAACTGTAAGGTCTTTTTATTAAAGACCAACAATAGTGACACAATTAATCAATTAATCTTAATTACAGTTGACCAATTAATAAGATAAATTTCTTAAGCTAATTAAAAGAAATCAATATAATTTAAAGCACCCTAAAAAATATTGTTTTTAAAAATTGTGCTCCGACTTAGAAAATTCACTGCGACTTTTTATTTCTTTCTTTAAAACAGTAATCAGCGTGATCGTAATTGCCTGTCGCAACTTGTATCATTTTGTCATAAATCAATTCAATTTTATCACGTTTACTATATGTGAATATGTCATTTATATGCTTTTACGTGCATTATTGACACTGCTTTTTTTTGGTAACTTTCTCTCTTTTTTTCTTTTTTTTTTTCTTTT